GCGCTGTAACAGCAGGTCAAAAATACATTTTATAACATGTTACATGAACACTGGAAAGGTTTTATTAGTGCGTTTCCAAACATCATTTATTTACTGTCATCATCAATCTGACCCTTGTGATGGCCCGCAGTACAAGCGCAAGAAGAGGAGCCGCAGCTCGCGGAGGCGCGACCGGTCCCGCGGCCGCCGCAAGCGCCGCAGTCGCCGGAACCGCCGTTTCCCCGTCGGCAAGGACGAGCTGGTCCACATCCACAAATCCCCGAACTACTGCGTGAAGGATCCCAAGAAGGGCATCCTGGGCACCTACGGACGCTACTGCAACAAGACCTCGAGGGGCGCCGACTCGTGCGACCTCCTGTGCTGCGGCCGGGGCTACAACACGCAGGTGAGTGGCACTCCGCCGGTGCCGCCCGCCGGGGCTCGTCCTCGTTGCTGGCTTTCGCAGTGAAAATGTGAAGAGATATATGATGTGCTAGAGACGTTGTCCTCATTCATAGTGCATGAATGAATATATCGACGTTGATACATATCGCATAGAGCAAACCTCTTAAAATATCCTTCCTCGATTTCAGGTGGTGCGATACGTGGAGCGCTGCCACTGCAAATTCGTGTGGTGTTGCTACGTCAAGTGCAAGACGTGCGTCACCAACGTCGACGTCCACACTTGCAAGTAATGTTCCGGCAGAGCATTACTCCAACGGCAAGCATCCTGTAGTACATAAGGAAAAAGATCCGTCATCGATATCAAAATCTACCCTTCAAGAACATCCCAAGAAGAGAAGCTGTCTGGAGGTGAAAAGAAGGTGCTTCGCGGAGTCCATTTTTGTGTCGTCTCTTTCACCTGTCTGCGTCGGAGGACTTCGCCGGGCGCAGGGAGCAGGCGGGGCCAGGAGGGAAGTGTGGTGATGAGGCGGGACATGAGAAGTGAAAGGGAAATGGTGGCGACGTGGAAGATCCCACTCGCCATCTCTCTTTGCAGGATAGAATCGAATAAGAAAGAAAAAAAAAACGTAATTGCGGAGAAACGCTGATGTTTAAACTTTGAGGCTTATGAGATAAAGGTAATCTGGAGAAAGAGGACATTTTATATATATTTTTATTTACACATATATATATATCTTAGATGCCGGTGACTCCGATATTTGGATTTTGTTTATCATTCTTACATGTAAGAATTTCTCTACCGTGTGAAGAATTATACTGGAAAGGGAAATAATCAGACTGACAAACTTACTGTACAGTATTTCGCTTTTGTTATAAGTGTATTGACACGCGCTATCCGAGTACCCCTGAGACCTAAGTTGATAAAAGAATTACTAATGTTTTAATCTTTTATTAGACATAGGTCCAGGAAAGAGAGAGAGAAACAAAACAAACATTTAAAACCAGAGAGTAAGCATGTAGATTGAGTCTAAGAAGAGTGCGTAAATGTAGTTTCTTTTCAATGGAGATTAAAAGTTGTGAGAATTTCACACCAGATTCCTTAGAAGGAAGAGCACATTCGTGTAGACGTCTTCAGAAAGAACACTACTCGCTATGGAAATGGAACTCCTCATCTCACACCTTTTTATGTTCTTATGTAGAAAGTTTTGCATAATAACCAAGCTTCTCAGTAACAATTGGTAACTTGTTACTAATTTCCTGGTGAACTTGAATTTATTAAAACTTTCCTTCTCTTTTAGATGGCCATAGTTGATAAAAGTACTTAGGAGAAAATGTTTTATTGTACAAATTAGATTTTTTTCTTTTTGGAATAATATATTTACATCTTTCACACCTTACAATTGTTGGGTAAGGCTTATATAGTAGTGGAAATGTACTGTTTATTGTATGTTATGTTTCTTTTGAATATAGAAAAAATATATTTGTGGCAGTCATTTGGAAGTTGCAAGATTAATGCATCTGTATATGGACAGATTTTTTTCATGTGGATGCTTAATAGTAGAGATAAAAACCGAATCAAATGCAGTATTGATCAAATTAAACGTCCAGACTTAGAGATTTCTTTTCATTAAGATAATATTTGAAACATGTTTGGTGAATTGTACTGCAATAAGGTTACATGTATGCTACATAAAGAATCTTAGCTATAATTGGATATATTACCTCAATATTTATGGTGTGTTTTATGTATATAGTGTCTCTTTTCATTATCAGTTGTAGTTTCATAAACTATGCTGCGTTTGTATATAGTGACCTTCTGCTTAATTTTCTTTTCTTTCTCGTACATCTTTCATCATTATTTTTTGCCAGAATCAAATGTATTTAGTAAAGGGATTGACAAATTCTAGCTTATTAGCTTAAGGCTTCTTTTGAGAGAGATTTTAAAAAGAAAAATTGTAGATTACCGAGACGCTGCCGTTAGTGTTAGGGAGGGAAGAATATCCACCTTTTAGTCTGGCAAAAGACTACAATAGTCATCCCTGAACTTGAATGTAGATCACCAGATACAAAAATATAGATATTTCTTTTTTTCTTCTTGGTGTTAATAAAGAAAAATATCTGTTATCTTATCACAATGATTTCCCTACGTGTAATGATAGATACCTCACGCTTTTTCGTCCATAATATTTTTTTTATAATACCGGAAAAAATATATTTATTTGTAACTAGTAAAATGAACATATTGGAGCTAAATGGGGTATGTTATCATTTCCACTTTTGCTTTTCGTGTCGTTTCTTGGTAGGAAGTGAATCTCTCTTAGACATTTTGTTATGTACCTTTTTTCAGATGCTATCTTTGTCTGAATTCATTGTGGCAGCTTATGAGAGCAAATATATCATAATTGATACTCATTTAAATTCATTCATTCTGTGAGCACAGCACAAGCCAGTTTTGCAAAATTGGTTTTGAAGTCTAGCACAAATCATCTGTTTTTTGAAGTGTATTTTCATATACATAATATTGATGCGTAATATTTCACAACCTTCTCATGCAGCTTATTTCTTGAAATATGATATCCACTCTACAACATTTTTACCTGTTTTTTTTCAAATGACACTTGTTCCCTAGTAATTTATGTGCTATGCAGAGTTATATTTTAAAAACTATACCAATGAAAATATAGTTCCCAGTGTTTTGGTATTCTAGAATCGTACATGACCAGATTCATAGCACGAGGTAGCCATCCCATCAAAAGCTAAAAAAAAGGCACCATTATATTTACAGAATGCTTGTGCTGTGTTCAAAGCATATTTTAAGTACCAGTGTTGCCAAACTTGTGAATAACTCGATAATATATGTTTGCCAAATTCACCATACATAAAATGCTGTCGTGAACATCTACGAAATCCTATTCATAAGATATATTTGTGATTTATTTTTGGAAATGTGTTTTCATATCTCCCCACCTACCCCCTCCCCTACCCCATCCCACCAAAAAAAGGTTACATAAAGAGGGATAATAGCTGAAAAAAAATTATCCACGAGGGTTAGAGGAAAGTTGACTTCAAGTTTTAGGTCTGAGTTCGAGTCACTGCAGTAAAATATCTTCATGAAGGACCAAATATCTGCTTTCTTCTAATTATAGTGGCTAATTTATCCTTATTTTTTATGAATAACTGATGTTCACCTCCGCAACCACACTCTCTGTACATAGCTGTATTATATATATATTCATTAAAGCAAGGATGTAGAAACTCTTATTCTAATAGTATAGGTAAAACTGAACTATGGGTTGAACTGTAGCTGTTTGCTCTTTCATTTCTTTAACATTGGGAGCATCCAGGTGTAACATGGAAGAAAACAAACATCATGTACTGAACTCTGAAATTATGTATTTGGATTGTTGAAATGTGGTATACCAGTAATAAGGGGGAAGACACTATTAGAGCTAAATTTAAGAATATTGGAAGTACATTGTATGTGTTTGATTCAGATGGGTGTTCTCTGACTTTCTCTGCTCAAAAATGTTGCTTATGTCGTTATCAAAAGTCTTGATCTGTATGGCTCATACTGAAAGATGCGGTCTTTAACTACAGTTCAGAATGTTTAGGTAGTCCATGTTGCGCCACGAGTATTCAAATTACACTTTCCCCACCAGATTTTTTAAATTATCTTTTTAACTTATAAAGATAAAAACCAGGACTATTACAAGAAAGGTTTTGACTCCAGTGTCCATATCAGCTGGTGGGTGCATTAAGGCCTTTTCGACTTCTGTTTTGACCTCCTTAAGTTCTCGCCAGCGCATCACATAAAGCTTTTTATCATCAAACCTCAGTTCATTCACTGAAGTTTATTAGAGGTCTCAATAGAAAGAGAAATTGGCAGCATAGAATGTTATACTGAGCTCTTCCACAAACAGTTACCTAAGACTGTCAACTTCGGAATAATTCTTGGTACCTTTTCTTCTCTTTTTTCTTTTTTTGCTTTGTCATTTCTTTTAAGTGTCATGCTAATTCAACTTCTTGTATTTGAAAACAGCTTTGTTAATGGATAATAATGAATATATGTGAAAGTGTTGTCAGTAGGCATTGTAATTACATTGCATTTAAGTCAGAGATCACCTATAGCTGCGCCGTTGTCTTAGTGTGTAATAGGGTGCTGTAAAACCTTATCAAATTGTTTAATGCTGTTACATTCTGATTCCAAATTTACAATCAATAAATGGGTTCATCATAAAGACTTTTTCATCAGTAATTCTTACTGCAGGAATGTCGGTTAGTCAGTCAATGCAGTCTGTAGTAATGAAATTGTGAATTGTGAATACAGTTACTTTCGTATTTTGTATTGGGTGTTCACCTCGAATTCCTTAAATTTCTTGTTTATCCCCCACTCAAAGAATGATTTATTTATTGATTTATTTTTTATTAAAAACAAAAAAGTATACAAAAATAGAATAAGATTAATATATAGTTAAACACTTTCTGTCCTTCTCATTTTAATATGAACGACAAGTTGTCTACATTGCAGCACTTATCTAAAGACTAAGACACCTGCCCTCAATATTCTAGATAAATGGAAAATACATTGTATTGTGGCAATAAAATAGCCCTCATTCCTCGGTCTTTTATATATCCACACATGCACTAAGAGCAGTAAGAAGTTGAACATGATGTTGCTGTGGTGATAGAACTACCTATGAATTCTATCAGGTAAATTCACATGGCTAATGAATTATTAGGAAAGAACACGTTTCCACCGTTTCTTTTTCCCCTTTTATGATATCAGTTACGCAGAAATGGTTTCGTTATTGTTTGTTTGTAAAGACATATTATCCCTGCAAGTAACGAGTGAGGTTGTTGTTGAACCTTTCTCTACGGATTCATATAACAAGAATAATCCATATAATATTTTCTTAGGGTAAGAAATATTAATATCTAAATTGTAATAAAAAATTTCCAGACGGTGATATAGAAATCAACAGTTTTAGAAGCTGAGTATCAATAATAGGTTATTAAGAAAATATATTCTACAGTTGAAGAAATCACCACCGCCCAAAACCTCCGACTGCATATGAAGAAATGAAAGCAAACTATCGTACGGTATCATTGACTTTTATAATGTCCCTAATGTAAATACACGTGAATATATCACGAAAGATAGGTGGCGTGACCATTCCCATCATGTTTACAGTCCAGGGGCCGGATTCACTAACATACGATCGTAACGCAATTACCAGCGGTCATTTACCATTGCGTTTACCAGTCATGGCAAAGTAGGATTCGTGAAGAAATGGTAATTCGGATATGCTGAGTTACAATCGTAAATCGACTCATTCTAATGGTAGCCAACAGAGGGCTCTGGTAAAGAAATTCAGCCAATCAGCGAGCGCTATACATAATCTTTTAGGTTCCTTCGGCCACTCCCGTAACATGTAAACAGAACTAGACACAGCGATATTGTTTAAACAATCGTCAGAGATAAAAGACTGTTTAAGCACATGTAGAAAAAGGAATATATTTATTTGATTCTATCCATCATGTTAGATATATATTTACTGTATAGATGGGAACCAATACAAACACTGTTATATTAATATATTATTGTTAACTCAAACCAAAGAGACAGTCCAAACCGATTTTTATTTATATATTTTCCATCATTGTTAAACAAAGAACCGGATCAAACAAATTTTTTATTCATCGCCATTTGTTGTCAAAGGAAATATCTCAAGCTTATTCTTTGTTATAATTAAGTCAGAGGAGAACTCTAAAAGAGTTCACTTATTTATCGGTTCCATACTTTCTAGTATAATGTAGGCCTAGAAGTTCACGAGAATTTGTGTGGACCTTATTCTAGCTAATTTCATGTGAAATTTGCATTTCTTCACTATGTCCGCGTTGTGATATCTGTTTGCCATCATGTTAGTTACATCAGGTGTAAAAACAAACACCAAATTTTGCTTAGATATTGATTTTTTGACGAGATAACACGTGATGACATCGTCTTCCCAAAAGTTACCAGTGCTCTGACCACTGGTAACATTTACCATGGTAGCTCCAATGGCAACTTGTTAGTGAATACCACCGCTGTCTGTTTACCATGGTAACTATAGTTAGCAGTGATAGTTAGCATAAGTGCGCTAGTGAATCTGGGCCCAGGACCTTAGAATCAAAGAAACGTAGAGAAATTAAGGGAGTATTTTTAATGAAATCAAGAAAGAATATGGTTAAAATCACATTATGATGTGGTATACTGAAATCCTAAGACTGATTTCAAATTAGGTATTGTTAAAGTTACAAGTAAACTAAATATGAATAAGGGGGAAGAATCATGTAATCCGTGACTTGAACATAAATTTAGCTAGACTGACAAACGTTTTTAAAGGAAATATCTTGATTAGTGCAATCACCAAACCAATCAAAGTAAACAAAGATTTGGCTTCGTTCTCTGACCAAATGATATTATTAATAGCTAATAGTATGGTAAATCCACACACCTTCGACCTTTTCCCCATTTATGCTTTGTTCAAAATACCAGTCTTCAAATCCACCCACAGATAAAACAAATTCAGGTTAGAGAGTGGCTTATCAAAGGCCAAACTCAGCCACTTTGTCAGCTGCCTTCAAGCAGTGTTGTGGCAACTTGTTGTTTGCTCTACTTGACGCTTATGCAAGTATGGAAAAGTTCATAAGTATGTTTTCACTTAACTTTATTTTGTTCTATTAAAAACCAAAGAGTAAAACCAAAATTACTTGAAATAAACATAAAGCCCATGGCATAAAAAACATATTAGAAAAAAACAACAACGCAAATTTTCCAAGCAACTTATCGTATTTACAGAAAGGGACACCAATTCACAATGCTTACAAAATGCAATGGCAAAGCATCATTTTATAGGGACAAATTAGAAAGAAATATAGAAAAATTAGAAAATCATGATCAGTTTTATCATGTAAAGTATAAACACAAAAATATAATCAGTCATATCAATGTTGATGGAAATATAATCTGTCACGAACTTGACATTATAATAAATTCTATCACACTTTTTTCTCTACAGAAGTAACAGCAAAATCTGCTAGAAAAATATTCCCATTTTTCTGACGTCCACATTAATTACTTGCCAACCCAACAATTTGAGTCGTTTTCTCGCTCGGGACGGTTCCCTTAATGAGGCTACTATTACCTCTGAAATAATTATAGTTTGAGAATAAGGTAAAGAATTCTGCAATAGATCCTGATAACACTTACAATGCTGATAAAAATACACATAATAACACTTGCACTAGCCTTTATTTTCATTTTTTTCCTCACCACAAGTATATTCCTAGACACTTGAACTTGCAAAAGTCATCCCTATGGTGATGAAGAGTGGTTGAAAATTACCGACCAATTTAAACTGCTGTCCTTTTTCAATAAAGTTAATGGATAAATATTGTCTTACAGATTTGACGACTACGGCATTAATTGGGAATACAAACAGATTCTCAATTTCGTTTCCGCGATACTATCATTCACAGAGTACATACTGAACAAATTTGACAACGAAGATTTATTTCTGGATTTCTGCAAAGCTGTGACTTATGCCCTGTTATTGGGAAAACTTAGACACTATGAGAAGAAAATAGCATTGATGTTTCACGTCCTACTTCTCAAATACGACACATTACATATACTTTGATCAGTACAAATCACAACCCTCACAGTAAGGTCTATATAAGTAATTATATAGACCTTGCCTCACAGTTCTATCCTGGGTCTTTTATATACGTCAACGGTATTGTAAATAGCAGCCGAAAATTAAAGTTTAGGTTCTTTGCTGACGAATGCAATTTGTCTGTCTGATAATACTTTATCTAGCTTATTTTTGATTTAACAGTAAGGCATATAACAATTATATTTGTATTATATTCGCTTCTGACAAAATGAGTATGCAATAAATTTTGTACATTGTGTTGCTGACTTCTCAAAAGACACTTTTTTTTTTTTAACGAAATGTATCAGTTGTAAAGGAAACGGAAAAGACATACGTTTCCAATTACAGATGTTTTTTCATACTATTTGATATGAATTTTACACAGTACGAATTTCGAAATCCCCATACTTATAAACCATGTGAAAAATCATCATCACGGTAATCATTATAAAACATGGCCACAACGATTGTAAAAGTTTTAATATTTAATCTTTGGAAAAAATCGTAATTTTGCATGTTCACAAATATCGTACGCAGTTTTAAAATTACCAAAAGCCTTGTTTGTTAAACTAACCAAACAAATATTTTACATTCGTTTACTAACACAAATACAAAGAGAAGTGATGATCGTACTGAAAATAAATCATCACTGATGCTGATTTGCGACCGTCAGTTACGCACAGTTAAAAATAGTGATGATGATTATGATGATAATAATAACTATAATAATATTAATAAAAAATAATAATAACAAAGATAAAAAATAATGATAATAATCGTAATAATGATAATTTCAATTTTGATGTTAGAGATGATAACAATAATGGTAATAATCATATTAATAATACTGATAATAATGATCATGATAATAATAATAGTAATGATAATTATGTTAATAATGACGTTGATAACATAAGCAACGGTAATGATATTAATGATGCGGACGACGACGACATAATAATGATAACAACAGAGCCAGTGCAACCAAATCCCCTGGAACTCAATGAAAAGGGATATATATTATGATAATACATTACTTCACTTTCTCTAAACCAGTGGTTCCCAACCCCATGGTCGCGACCTAAATGAGGGTCACCAGGGTTTTTCTGAGGGTCGCCAGAGGGTCTTAAAATTTAAAAATCCATATGTCGGTAAAAGTTATTTATGAAACTCAATTTGTTGGTAATATAAACTTATAAAAGTATAGAATAACGAAAGCTAATATATAGCTGCATGTATAACTACCATGAAAATGGTGGTTATTACTATATGTTCACACATTTAAAGGGCTTAAGTAAAGTAACAACTGAAACTGTTAAAAAGGGAGAATTGGCTCGCACACCATCTCTCTAATATGAGTAAAAAAGGAAATCTGAAAATAATTTCCCAAAATTGATTTATTTCGATTTTCCGAAGTCAAATTATATTTTTCCTCGAAAATCCGGAACCCGGATGTGTGACGGCAATTCCAGAACACGATCACAACATTCTCTGCATTCAATACATGGCGGACTCACTACAAAACTACAGCGGCAGTGAAATCAGTGAAGTTTCATCGGATTATTCCGACGAGGACATTGGTACAACTCCTTCAGATGGTGTCTATGTCTTCGAAGAGTTGGAAGAAGAGGAATATCAAGGGTTAATGGTTGTTGGACCGTACATGCACGAGCCCGACGCTGTGGATGTCGTGAAGTTGTGCCAAACCAGCCAGACTATGGACTGGCGTCGAAACCCGAAGAGATTGAATGAATGGTAATTTTCTAAATTATTTTTTATAGTCGAACGTGTGATTCCGCTTCTGTATGGTACAAAATTTCTGCAGGCTGAGCTATCTCTTGTCTGCACCCGTGGCGTAGGCCTACATCCATTCGCGAGTGGAGGGGCATCGGTATATAATTCGTATTTTGCTTTTTGGG